TGTTGGAGGAGGTTATCTCTTAATAACCCTTCAATTGTAGTTGTCTGTGTTTCTATGATAACTTGCTTGTAGAAGGCCAATATAGTCCATTTCAGTCTGAACGTACAACAAAAAATGGCTGAAATACAGCCAGAAAGGTTTCTTTCACCCCTGGTTTTGCAGCTGTTGTAGGTTGGAATGGTTCAGGAATTTAATGAGTTTCCTGGAACCAGATCCTAGTTTGTGGTAAGACTGCTTTGGCAATCTTCAAAGCTACACTAATGCTAGTACTAATACCCTGTTAGAGTTACTCTACCTGTGGCATTAAAGCATAGGAACATAGGAAAGCAGGCCTGGAAGGGCCCTCATGAGTTCATCTAGTCCCGCTCCTTCCTCAAAGCAGGATCATCCCTGACTAAACCATCCCAGCCATTGCTCCTATTCTTACTTCTATAGGCACAGAGAAAAATCTGTCTTCATCTTCTTTATAATTATCATTCAGGTATCTGAAGTCTGTATTTTCTAAATCTATGTGCTTTGCTATAATGCACTTCTAGCTTATTGGTCCCGTTTATTAAACTGTGCACTATTATTTTCTGACAAATGTCCTTTTTGTTCTATTTCCCTAAAGCTACACTTAGCTTTTAGAACAAAACCCCTTTTCATATTAAAATTGGCAGAAACAGCTAATATTTCTTAATTGCTTTGTCAAAATGTTAGCCAGTGGGGCAAATTCATGTAATTCCAAAAATTATGTTTGGCTAACTCCAAATTACTTTGGCCTATTGCATCCTTGAAAACCAAAGGGAGTTCACAGCACTGAAAATGCATGAGAGTCATGAAACCAGAAAAAATGTTAATGATTAAACTGAAGAAAAGGTAATTAAAAAGAAGACATGAACTAATGGCAGACCACATTTAAATTCCCTCCACCTGTTCTGCTAGAAATACATATGAAAAGTCACATTAATTTCTATTCATATTAAAAATTCTTTAATAGACTTAAAGCTATTTTAGCTGTGCTTAATAATGAAATTCTTAAGCTGAAAGTGAACTTAATGCCTCTTTAAATAAATTACAGATTTACTGGCCTGCAGCAAAAGAAAAGGTGGAATTATGCAAATTAGCTGGGAAAGATGCCCATGTAAGTACAGGATTTTTTTTCTATTTTATTGTAGCTGGTAACACTGTATGCATTTGTTTCTAAGGGCACTATGTTGGATTATTAAACTGCACTCAAAAAGAGTTGATAAGCACATATATTTAGTATTTTTTTTCTAATCAAGGCATAGAAGATAAACCTTCCATACTTTGTGCTTTTTTTTCTTTGAACTTTGAATTAGTTGTATTGGCTCCAAGTGTTTATTGAGACCATTAACTAGTTTCATCCTCTATTTCAAATGTTAATGTTGCAAATAGAATACGGAGCAATGAGTAGAAGTTGTCTTTAGCTATTGTTATGCATAAGTATAGCTAGACTTTGTTCTCAGGAGTGAATATATCCTGAATTTTACTCAGCCTGGAGCTGATCCAAAGCCCAGCAAAGTCAGTGAAAATCTTTGAATGATCCTCCTGCTTCATTGAAACTCACCAAAATCCTTCTCAAAGCTATGCCATTCCCACATAATTTGTCCTGGCCCACATCCTTCAGCCATCATAATAGGCATGTAGATCGTTCTCTGATGTACAGGGATTAGCCATTGCTCATGTTTTCCCAGTTCTTTTTATAGTGGGACTAGCATAGCTATTGCTTAGTGAAACGCAGACATGAGAGGCAAACGAAGTGATGAGATGTGAGTATTGCTGAGGGCATAGTTGTACAATCTTAACATTTTCCTCATGTTTTCCTCAATAGACAGAATGTGCAAATTTTATCAGAGTTCTTCAGCCCTACAACCGGACCCATGTTTATGTCTGTGGAACAGGAGCCTTCCACCCTATCTGTGGATATATTGAACTTGGAACACACAAAGAGGTAATTTAATCCACCCGCCAGTGGCGCATGACAAGAAATGGCTCTAACCATACTTAGCATCCATCATTTATTTTAAAATACACTGTGCAAGGTATAAAAAATGAACTGACAGCAGTTTGTATAAATAGCAGGGTAATGGTGGGTTTTATAGGTCATATAAGAACTCATGTTCTCACATTTGATGTGTGCATATTATACTTGGACAAAGTTCTTTGCCCAATCAGAATTAATATACAAAGTTCTTTAGAATGACACATTCCAATGATTAATTATGTGAAGAGCTCATTTAACCCAGATGTCTTTCTTCCTAACAAGTCATTTCCCTATAGTTTTTCTACTCTGTTGCTTTCTGGCCACCACTGTAAGAAATCACTTCTATAAAGGAAAATCATAACTTCTAAAACAGCTTCCCTTGCCACTCAATATGCAAGCTACCCATGGGAATGGAAGTGCCCTCCCATTGTGGGGCTGTTGAAACTGCTTTGCTTTGGTTAGTCTATTTACTACTTAAGGTGAAATCTTATATTCTCCATGTTAAGCCTTAGAATCACTCATTCCCAATGAGAATAACAATTTTGCTACAGGAAGGAGAAGTACTGTGAAATGGCAAGGCAATAGGGAAA